GCAGAGACTGGAGTGCAGTGGCCACTCCCGGCCACCGCAGCCTTGACCTGCTGGGCTCCGGTGATCCTTCTGCCTCAGTCTTCCAAGTAGCTGGAACTATAGGTGCGCGCTACCAGGCCCGGCTAATTTTTTGATTTATTGTAGAGATGAGGTCTCGCCAAGTTGCCCAGGAGGGTCTCGAACCTGGGGGGGCTCAGGCAATCCACTCACTTCAGTCTCCCAAAGCGCGGGATTACAGGCTGAGCCACCGAGCCCGGCTGACCCAGCTAATTTTTAAAATTTATTTTAGATATGAGATCTCGCCAAGTTTCCCAGGCGGGTCTCGAACCCGCGGGCTCAGGCAATCCTCTCGCCTGTGTCTCCCAAAGTGTTGGGATTATAGGTGTAGACCACTGAGCTCGGGCTAATTTTTAACGTTTCCTAAGAGACAAGGTCTCACTGTATTACCTAGGCTGATCTCGAACTTCTGGCCTCAAGTGATCCTCTAACTTTGTCCTCTCAAAGTGTCCCCAACCATTTACAGCATAAAATCATTCTTAGCTCACTGGTGGTGTAAGAACAAGCAATGGGCTGGACTTGACATGGGAGCCTCACTGGCTGACTCTGGTCTAGTCATTTTTTTTTTTTTTTTGAGTTGGAGTCTTACTCTGTTGCCCAGGCTGGAGTGCAGTAGCATGCTCACGGCTACTGTAGCCTCAGCCTGCTGGGGTCAGGTGATCCTTCCATCTTAGTCTTCCAAGTAGCTGGAACTATAGGCATGTACAAGCATACCTGGCTAATTTTTTGATTTATTTTTGAGACGAGGGTTCATCAAGTTGCCCAGGCTGGTCTCGAAACCCTGGACTCAGTCCATCCTCTTGCCTTGGCCTCCAAAGTGCTGGGATTACAGGCCTGAGCCACCATACCCGACCCTGGTCTGGTCATCTTTAAAAACCCTTCCACCTTTGAGGATCTGTGATACTGTGCATCATCAGCTGGGCTGATGCCAGGGTATGTCAGAGGTAAATCTTTACCTGGCTTCTCGGAACACTATTCTGAGAAGGCCCTTCTGAGAAGGCCCCTATAGGAGATATGCTCGGGTTGGGGATGGGATGACCCATCCTTGGAGGATGTAAAAGCAGGTGAGAGAGAGAGAGAGAGAGAGAGAGAGAGAGAGAGAGAGAGAGAGAGACAGACAGACAGAGAGAGAGAGACACTGACTTTGCACTCTGCTTTCCTCAACCTCTTTATTTCTCTACCTTCCTCCCTAGCCTGAAGCCTAGGAACCCTCAGTGGAACTTGACTTCTGCATAATAGCCTTCAGTGTCCGTGGCCTGGGACTCCGGCTTGAATCTGAAGTCTGAGAAGTTGAGTGCAGCATAATGGATCTCCTCTTGGCGGTCCTCAGGTTCTGGGGCTTGAGTGGGTGGTCTGGGTCCCGGGTGACCGAGGGCAACAAGCTCCTTCTGATTATTCTTTGATTTCGGGGAGGAAGTGTCAGGAGGAGGGGTCCTGGAAGGACTATTTGGTGTGGCCTTCCGATTCCGAGCCTGTGGGAATAACCACCATCCATCATTCATTCATTCAAGAAATATTTGAGCACTCATGACTGATTCAGGAACTGAGACTATGGCAGGGAATAAGACAAAGACTCTCTGTTCTCACAGAGATTGCATTCTGTCTTGGAAGTAAGAACAGACAAAAAAGAAGCAAAGAAAAAAAGAGTGACCAGTAAGTGACAAAGGCCAAAAAAAAATTGAAGCCGGGCCAGAAGTCAGTGGAAGGACAAGTGAGATGTCTATTTAAGTAGGACACCCAGGGAAGCTCTCTTGGGGGGGCTATCCAGGCAGAGAGACTGGGCCACGCGAGGCAAGGAACCATGCAAGGTGAGGAGGAATGATCCCGGGAAGGGACAACAAATTCCATTTCCCCAACTGAGACTGGGATTGTGTGTTTGAGGAACAGCAAGTCTCAGGGGAGAGGTGGGAAATTAGGTTGGTGAGGGAGTCAGGCCTCGGAGGCCCTGGTGAAGGCTTTGGATTTATTCTAAGTATGACAGAAGTCATTGAAGGCTTTAACAGGAAAGTGAGATGGCTTTTATTTATTTGTTTGTTTGCTTATTTATTTATTTTGAGTCAGGGTCTCTGTTGCTCATGCTGGAATATAGCGGCATGATCACAGTTCATTGCAGCCGCAACCTCCCGGACTTAGGTGATCCTTTGGCTTCAGACTCCTGAATAGCTGGGACTACACGTGTGCACCACTATGTCTGGCTAATTAAAAAAAAATTTTTTTTTTTTTTTTTTTTGGTAGAGACAGGGTCTCGCTATGTTGCCCAGGCTGGTCTTAAACTCCTGGGCTCAAATGATCCTGCCTCAGCCTCCCAAAGTGCTGGGATTATAGGCATGAGCCACTGTGTTTAGCCTTGTTTTTTTTTAAACTTTGTATTTTGGAATGACTTAAGATTCATGGGAAGTTGCAAAAATAGTTAGGAGAGTCTGCATATCCTTTCCCCATTTTCCCCAGTGGTCACATCTACATAACTATAATAAAATATCCAGACCAAGTTGACACTGGTGATGTGTGTGTAGAGTTCTGTGCAGTTTTAGCTTATGGGTGAGCAGCGGGCTGAATTAGGATTGTCTGAGCCCGCGGGTTCGAAACCCACCAGGGCAACTTGGTGAGACCTCATCTCTACAATAAATCAAAAAAAGTTAGCCAGGTGTGGTAGTGTGCTCCTGTAGTTCCAGCTACTTGAAAGACTGAGGCGGAAGGATTGCCAGAGCCCTGCAGGTTGAGGCTGCGGTGGCCAGGAGCATGCCACTGCACTCCAGTCTGGGAGACAGAGTGAGACTTCAACTCAAAATTAAAAAATAAATAAATAAATAAAGATGTAATTAAGGTAAAATGAGGTCCTATGGGTGAACTCTAGTCCCATGTGACTATTATCCTTATTAGAAGAGGCGATTATAGCTGGGTGAGATGGCTCATGCCTGTAATCCCAGCAATTTGGGAGGCTGAGGCGGGAGGATTGCTTGAGCCCAGGAGTTCAAGACCAGCCTGGACAACATAGCGAGATCTCGTATCTACAAAAAATTTAAAAAACTAGCTAGACGTGTGGGGCACACCTGTAGTCCCAGTTACTTGGGAAGGTGAAGCAGAAGAATCACCTGAGCCCAGGAGGTCGAGGCTACAGTGAGTTGTGCTTATGTCACCATCCTCCAGTCTGGATGACAGAGTAAGACCCTGACTCAAAAAAAAAAAAAAAAAAAAAGGAGGTTAAGATACAGGCACACACAGAGGCACGACCACAGGAAGAAGATGCCATCTACAAGCCAAGGTGATGCCTTGAAAGAAACCAACACTGCTAACACCTTGACCAGAACTGTGAGAAAATAAATGTCTATGGTTGAAGCCACTGGTCTGTGGTCGCTTTGACAGCCCTAGGGGAAAAAAAAACACACAAGTAGGTCCACATGACCACCACCATCAGGCTGAAGAACTTTGCTCACTGCCATGACCATCTTCTGCTTTCTACCCTGCCGGAGTCCTGAGTGTCACCCTTCAGTCCCCAACCCCTGGTACTGCTAATCTCCATCTCTATAATTTTATCATCCTGAGAGTGTGGTATAAATGGAGTCATGTGTTGATCTTCTGAGATGGGCTCGTCCTTCCTTTTTTTTTTTTTTTTTAAGCGACAGGGTCTCGCTCTGTTGACCAAGCTGGGGTGCATGCCCTGGCGAAGGCTTGGGATTTATTCTAAGTATGTCAGAAGTCATGGGAGGTTTTAACAGGAAAATAAGATGCTTTTATTTATTTGTTTGTTTGCTTATTTATTTATTTTGAGTTAGGGTCTCTATTGCTCAGGCTGGAGTGTAGTGGCGTGATCACAGCTCACTGCAGCCTCAACTTCCTGAGCTCAAGCAGTCCTCCCACTTCAGCCTCCCGAGTAGCTGGGACTACAGGACTATATTGCCCAGGCTGGTCTCAAACTTCTGGCCTCAAAGGATCCTCCCGCCTCAGCCTCCCAAAGTGCCAGGATTATAGGTGTGAACCACCCTACCTGGATGGGCTTTTCACTTTTTATTTTTTTTATTTTTATTTTTTTGAGTTGAAGTCTCACTCCGTCTCCCAGACTGGAGTGCAGTGGCCACTCCCAGCCACCACAGCCTCGACCTGCTGGGCTCCGGCAATCCTTCCACCTCAGCCTTCCAAGTGGCCAGAACTCCAGGCGCGCACCACCACACCCAGCTAATTTTATTTTTTTGATTTATTGTAGAGATGAGGTCTCGCCAAGTTGCCCAGGCGGGTCTCAAATCTGCAGGCTCAGGCAATCCGCTCACCTTGGCCTCCCAAAGCGCAGGATTACAGGATGAGCCACTGAGGCCAGCCTATTTTTTTATTCTTAAGATCTATCTGACTTGTTGTGTGTATCAGTAGTTTGCTCCTCTTGATTGCTAAGTTGTGTCCATGGGATAGATGTGCCTACTCGAATCTTTAAAAGGATAGCACACACAGAGAAGTAGACTGGAGGGATGAGGATGGGAGCAGAGAGAGGGCCCGCAGACGGAGGCCGTGGTACCCAGGTGAGAGATGTTGGAGCATGGACTGTGGAGATGAGGGGAGAGATAGAAGTGGCTTGGCTGATTTTTTTGTTTTTTGTTTTTGTAGAGATGAGGTCTCACTATGTTGCCTAAGCTGCTTGAACTTCTGGGCTCAAGCAGTCCTCCTGCCTCAGTCTCCCAAAGTGCTGGGATTGCAAGCATGAACTGATGGGTTGGTTGTGGCATGAAAGGAGTGAAAGAGGATTCTGAGGTCTTAGCCTTGGTTGGGTAAATGTGTTATTTGCTAAGATGGGCATAGAAAGGAAGCATGAATGGTGGAGATTTTCCGAAGCTGATTTGCGAGAGGCTGAGTTTGGGATGCCTCTTAGATACCCAGATGGAGATGCCGCCCAGAGAGTTGGATCTGAGTGTGCAGTTCAGAAATGAAGCCAGAAGACATATATTTCAGAGTTATCTGCATAAGATGTTCTCTTTGAATAATTTCCAATGTTTGCTGAATGTTTACTAGAGGCCAGGCACTATTCAGAATGCTTTACAGGGACAGAATAATTAATGCCCAGAATAATCCTAGAAGATGGCACTGCTATTATTCCCATGTTACAGATAAACACACTGAGGCACAGAGAAGTTAAGAGACTTGTTCAAGACCTGCGTGATGGCTCACACCTGCGATCTCAGCACTTTGGAAGACTGAGGCAGGAGATTGCTTGAGGCCTGAGATTGCTTGAGGCCAGCCAGGGCAACATAGCGAGACCCCTCCCCCTCCCTTTTTTTGAGTCAAAATCTTACTCTCTGGCTCAGGCTGGAGTGCAGAGGCACGCTTATGGTCAACGCAGCCCCGACCTACTGGGCTCAGGCAATCCTTCCGCCTCAGTCTTCCAAGTAGCTGGAACTATAGGTATGTGCCACCATGCCCAGCTAATTTTTTGATTTATTGTAGAGATGGGCTTATTGCCCATGAGCTCAGGCAATCTTCTCACCTCGACATCTCAAAGTGCTGGGATTATAGGCATGAGCCTCTGTGCCTGGCCTCCCCTTCTCTTTTTTGAAAAAAGACTTGTTCAAGAATACACAGTGATGAAAGCATGACTTGAACCCAGGCAGACTGGCTTCAGACCCCTGTTTGTGCGTTATCCCTAGGATATACGGCTTCTCAATGATATTAATAAATATTGAGTACAGTAAGTCCCCTGCATAGAACGAGATAGTTCTGAGAGTGCGTTCATAAGTCCAACAAAGTTAGCCTAGGTACCCAACTAACACAATCGGCTAGACAGTACCAGCTGCAACACCACTACTTTTATGCCTGCTTCTGGACATCCTGGGTTTGAAATAAAAAACTGTACTACTGTACTCTATACAGCATAGTAAAGTACACAAAAGCACAACCACTTGTAGAGGACACACACACGTGATAAAGTATGCCAGACACGTGAACTAGCTTACGTGATTGGACATGCGAATGCACGTTTGCATCTTTGAAAGTTTGCAACTTGAAGGTTCGTGTGGGGGACTTACTGCAGTTAATTATAATTAGCTACATCATTGGTGATGATAATTATGGAAGAGCGTCTGTGAATTGAGAAAGTGCTTGTGTTCTTCTCCTCAAACCAACTCTCAGAGGAGACAGAAGAAGTGAAGGCTCAGAGGGGGTGAGTGACTTGGCTGAGTAAGTGCCAGAGCCAGTATTTGAACCCAGTATTGAGCTCTGAGCTTCTTCTACCTTGACGTCCCTCAGGCAAAAGGTGGGGCTGGACAGGGAAGGCGTGTATACAGGAGTCGGAAAAGGAGTGTTCACTATGGAGAGGGGAAGGAGGGGTGGTGTGACCCAGTCACTCACCAGGTGCCCGGCCTTGGGGACCACATTGATGTAATCCAGGATTGTGCTGCTCCGGGAGACCTTGGGCCTCGGCGTCTCTGCCAGATTCTGTTTCTTCCGTAGAATCTTCACGCTGAGGAGATGAACCCCAATCTTGGCATGCATTGCTGGACCTTCCCTTTCCCCGGGCCTGGACCTCAGACCCCACCGCTCCCCCTCCTGACTTACAGGATCAGGATGAGGCAGAGGAAGGGGAGACACATGATGCCGATTCCCAGAAAGATTCCCCTGGAGAAAGTGGTCAAGGGTTCCTTTTTATCTGCATGGGGAGAGGGTCACGTGGTTTCCCATCCACATGGGGCCCCACGAGCCCCCTTGACACTAGCACTCAGGCTTCGAGCTCCCAGTGCAAATTGTGCCTCCAACCCCTCCGCCTTCTTTCAGGAATTGTGGCCACATCCCAGCCCTCCCCAAGCTCCTGCTCCAACCACAGGACCCTACCCAGGTTTCCCTCATAATAGAGCCTCAGCATCCAAGCCCATGAATGTTCTGGGCCTCATAGCTGAGCCTGAGACTGGAGTCCATTCCCTTGCAGAGGCTCAGGGAGCTGTTGACCCAGGACCCCACTGAGCTAGGTGTGACCATGAAGGCGCCCTGGCTGCCATTCCCTTCCAGAAGCTCCTCGCCATGCTGCCAGTGCAGGGAGGAGGCCGACTGGGTTCAGGAGGAGCAGCTGCAGTGCAGACCCTCAGCTTCCCAGGAGCAGGAGGGTCCTAGCAGCTGTGGGGGGGGGTCTGTGAGAAGGAAGAGAAGGCTCAGCAGGTGTCCCCTTTCCAGGATCTGAGTGCCCCGTCCCCACTCACAGTGCACAGAGAGGCTCAGGGAGATGTGCTGGGAGCCCAGCGGGTGCTGAGCAAGACAGGTGAATTCTCCTTCGTGCTCCATTTGCACCCGAGGCAGCTCCAGGACCCCTGGGTCTGAAGACTGGGAGGGGCTCAAGATCTGTCCGCCCCGGACCCAGCTCAGCCCGGCTGGGGGGTTGCTGTGGGTGATACAGACCAGGTGCAGACTCTGGCCCTCCAGGACTGGGAGGGATGTGCCGTTCCCAAGGTTTTCCACGACTGGGGAAGGGAAGAGGCAGAATAGATGGGTGGGCTAGGGCTTGGGCACCTTCCTGCCTGGGGACACCCCAGACACTTGGACCCCAGTTTGGTTCTGAGAGGCCCTGGTTCCTCTGTCCCCCTCTCCTACCTGTCCTGTTTGCCTGGGAAACCGTCACTGTCAGGTTCTCTGGAGGATCTGAGATGGAGAGAGGGCAGTGGCTCTAGAAGACCCGGGGCTTCCCTCTAGGCAAAGGGAACCATCCCGGGGGACAGAGGAAGAGGGATGGGGTCAGGTGGGATGTGGTCAAATGGGAGGGGGCAGGGTTACCCACTGAGTCCCAGACACAAATTGCTCAAGGGTCTAGCTAGGGGAAAAAGTCTAGTTCCTCAGGCCGAGGGTTCCAGGCTCCTCAGAACTCTGAGGCCCTGACCCAGATCCTCCCCCTCTCCCTTCTTCGCCCAGTGGACACCAGGCCCCTGCTGTCATACTCACACAGCACAGAGAGGTCCAAGGAGAGGTTCTGGGAGCCCAGCCTGTTCTCTGCTCGGCAGGTATAGTGCCCTGAGTCCCCCTCCTTCACCCTGGGCAGCTCCAGTTCCAGAGTTCTGGGGCCCCAGGGGTGGGACCAAGAGAGGACTCTGTCCTGCAGGACCCAGCTCAGCGTGGCGGGGGGCTGACTGTCAGCAGCGCAGAGGAGCCTCAGGGCCTGGCCTTTCTGGGCTTCCAGGTGTGGGAGGTATCCCTGAGGCTCTAGGGCTGGGGGGAGAGAGAGAGAGAGAGAGAGAGAGAGAGAGAGAGAGAGAGAGCGCGCGCAGG